AGAGAGAGAGAGAGAGAGAGAGAGAGAGAGAGAGAGAGAGAGAGAGACCGTAAAAAAACAAAAACACCAAAGTATTGTGCATACATCTGAGCTGTATTTTGGGCACTGTTCGTTCGTTCCCATTGGCTCGATGGAAAAAAAAACAACCAACCAAAGAGACTATTCACATTCGTCGCACATAAATTTCATGGTAATGATTTCAGGATAATACACATTTCAATGTAATAATCACAAGTATTATATGAAATAATAGCGGCACTCAACCAACAACCGTGAATAACAATAGAGAGTGAGACTGATTCCAGGGCACATCTATGCAGATAGTTGAATAAGGTTTTGATATCATCGCTCGCGCGCAAAAAAAACCTTTACCCCATAACTGTTTTCGTAGTATAAAGACGAGAAGCGAATGCAAAAAAAACTCGTGCATACAAAAGATGTCATGGTCAGAGCACTACTTGAAATGAAAATTTTTGTTGAATAGAAGCCAAAATGTTGCATACTTATGTGCTGCTTCGAGCCCGATTTCGGTTTTTCGGTCGGGTTCGTTGGTGTGGTGCGGAAGCAGACGTTTATCTGTTTCATCGCGCAAACGACAACATCAACGACTCACTGTTTCGACAGACTGTCTATTTGTTTCACAGTTAACCATTCACCTTTGCACCCATACAAATTGAGATAGCATCAATTTTTGATCAAATTCAATCCACGATTTTCATTCGCTTCGTTGTGTATTCCTTTTTTTTATTGTTCAACAGTTTACAAAACCGAAATAGAACCAAAATCCAAACACACATCATTTTGTAGCTAGAGCAACCACATGCTCAACAAATCATCCTTCGCTGTGTTCCAGTGAAACCGAAAAAAAACACATGCGTTTTTTTCTCCTGTTTGTCCTAGAGATGAACACGGTGAAACAGAATGAAATGTGATAGAGGAGAGGAGAAGAGGGGAAAGAGAGAAAAAAACTGTATTTTAAAATTGTTCTCCCGAATGCGATGCAACAGACAAAAGTAAAATATGAACACAATAACGATCATCGAATGTGAAATAAATTTTCTATGAAACAAAATCAGTTGGTCGCATTCGTTCATTTAGACAAGAGGTAAAAAAAAAATATGTATCGATCTGAAGAATTGAAACAAAATAACATCGAAAGGCCCAAACGATTCAACACAATAGTTCAGAGGGTTAGTTGGCATCGTTATGTGTATTTTTATTTATTATTATTATTATTTTTTGGTAGAAAAACAAGTTTTTTCGTCTCTCTCTTGTCTCGTGACAGCTCAACTGTCAGAAGTGAGAAGAGATCACAAATATACACAGCCCGAAAAAAGGGTCTGGCTATAATGAGTTATTCAGGCTATTGAAGAGATTTCATCTTTATTGACGAGCGCGCGACTTGTGATTAGGGTGCTCCCGGTCAATAAAAATGTGTTGAATCTCGGGCTGTTGGAACGCAGCACGACTCGATTGATCTAGTTGTGTCTCTAATTATCAATGGAATGTGAATATATTTCAACATCTTCCGAAAAATTCAAATGATAAATACTACAAATAGAAAAAGAAGAAAAAAAAGCGCTCCAAAAACCAATTCAATTATAATAATGGCCGAAACGAGTTTTACCATTATCATAATGATGGCATTATTTAATGCGCAGATTGTTACGGCTGCAAATGGAAAGAACAAATCAATTCCATGTGTAATTCAATGGTGCTGTCTGTTTGATTTTAATTCGTACAAATGAACCAACTCGTTCACCATCAAAAATACGACGACGACGTGGACGATGAGGAGAAGATGATGTGCTGTGCATACAGTTTTCATAAGTGAATTCATTTTCCACGTCCTTTTTCGTTCTTGGCTGTGTGTGTGTGTGCGTACCACTTTTTTGGCCAAAGTAGAGATCGTTAGGGGTTGCAGACACATTCCGAATTAACATTTTACAGTGGATTTCTACATCGAAAATGTTTTAGTTTATGTGTCACTTGAAGAGTCAATTTGATTTTATTTGAGCTGCTACTCTTGCTGCTGATGTTGTTGCCATTGCCATTGGCACACTGTAAAGAGTATCGTCTTTTGAGAGCGCTTGGAATCGTCCATTTCATTGCATCGAGAATATACTTATGGTTTTCCACTATTTACGTAATGAATTGTATCTTTATTATTCTGGAAGTGAGACCATTTCGTTGGGCATTGAAGTCAACATTGAAAGCCGAACGAGATGGTGATATTTGTGCGCGTGAGCGCTTGCTTTTAAGTGCGAAACCATCCGATCGACTTCACCAAGTGCACAGCCGTCATTCCGATGAAAATCGACAGCAGCAGTGCAGCTAATACGGAAAAGCATGTCGCATCCAATGTTTCTGCAAAAAGAGGATACGTATGATGTGTTTTACCCCGAAATTTCTCACAGCTACACACCAAATGCATATTGTGCAATTAAAATGCTATTCAAAACCACACAAACACACACACAAACAAACATTTGGTTTGAACGATTTTTCATGTCGCAGCTTCTCTCTATCGTTCACAATTTTCGGTTGAATATTCTTTTCTCTCTGTCACTCTTACTCTGTTGTGTTGTGTTGCTGCAAAATCTCGGCAGTTGATTCAAGTCCTGTCAGTCCGATGAGAGTTGAGTGTTGAGGACGGTATTTTTTTTTGCGGCGTTAACACAATTTTCTGGGTAGAATTTGTAAACAAGCAAATTAAAGTTAAAGATCACATCAAACGGCGATACAATATATTGTATATGCAGTTAATTTACACTGGAACATGCCACATGGAAACATTATGATGACATTTAGCACCGACAAGCTGCTACACACAATTGTACAGTTTTTTTTTCCTCCAAATTCTTCTCACTCACTCACGCTCATTTCGAGAGAATGTGTCTAACCAGAAAGAGAGTGAGCCGTACATATGCTGTGTCGTATGATTGATTTTTCGGTGATTGTTGTGTCGGAGTTGTTGTTAATTGTAAAGTAATTTCATCTGTCATTTATAGACCGAAAAATTGCTTTCAACTTCGTTTCGAAAATTATAAGTTAATTTAAAATGGTTGTAAAATGACATAGTGCAGCTCAGATGTTTGTTGTAACACGACATATGATGCAAGGAATGCGTGTGTGAGCGAGTGTGAGTGAGTGAGGGGACAAAGGCAAACTATAAAAAAAGCCTCACAAACGAACGAACGAACGAAGAAACATTTCTTGACATTACAACGCAATGAAGTGAAGATCGAAGTGAACGCGACGAGGTTAATCTTTTCCAAAACAACGGAAAAAAAATTCACATGGGAATTCCATGTCGAAGTATAATTGTGTGCATATCGCGCGGCACACTGTTCCCAAACCGAAAATAATAACATTAACGAAAGAAATTGACGGAAGAGAAAAAGAGTTCATCCAATAAATGGCCTTCAAATTGGAGTGGAGTGTCGAAGTATAATAAAATTTTATATATTTTCTTTCTTCGTCTTTCAAATTTACATTGAAACAATCGAAAATAGAGACAAGAACCAAAGAAAAAAACGACGCTCGGAAGAGACAACAATTACTCACACTTTCAATCCTCGAGAATGTCAATGAATAACAATCGGGGAGAGAAAAAACAGAAACAACGACATCGCTGTCGTCGAATGTCTGACACGGAAACGAATTTCGAAACAAAAAATTGAAGAAAAAAACACGTTGAAGAAAATAAATGAACCATCGTCTTTAGAGTAACATGGAAACTAATTGAAACAATGTCCATTTCCATTTGTCTTCGGTGGTGTTTCCATGGAGTGCATTTTGATTGTGATTCCATTTGGTATATTTCTATTGTGATGTGTAGAAAAGTGTGTGGCATTGCATCGAAGTGAATGAATATTGCTAGTCAATAAGTGCTTTGGAAGCATCCATTTGATGATTACGTTAAACATTACGCTCAGTCGCTCACTGTTTCATTCATTCCTTCGTTCATTCCGTTTGCTATGTGTGCGAGCGCAGAGCGCGCACAGTTTCCACACTGTCTGAGCATTTGCGTGAATATCTCTGCCCATATAATTACCGACCAAATTTTTCTTCTATATATTTATTTTCCCTCGTTTTGTTCGTGTTTCTCCTTTCTAATTTTCTCTTTCATTTTACATTGCAGATACTCGAATTTGGATCGATCGCGATATAGACAGAGCACCGAGTGTTTGTGTTGTCCGTATTTTGCCGATGATAAATTGGGGATATGGAAACATATGTGCGGTAAGTGGATTTTTGATCATGCCACATTAAGTGTTATATTCGACTAAATTATAATTAACTCGAAGAAAGGAAGAAGAAGAAGAAGAAGAAGAAACGGAATAAGATGATGACTACGACGCTGTCGTTGTCGACGACGCGCATTAAAATGAGAGAAATGAAAATGAAAATATGTTTGGCTTTACAAAGTTTCCAAGAGTGTGATCGTCAATTTTATATTGCTCCCACATCATTTGATGTTCAAATGCACGATAGAGACAGAGCAAACGAGCAAACAAGCAAAGCGTACATAAGTCGCTGTATGGCATCGTATCGGCGAGTCATTTGCTTGCTTACGCTTTTAAAGTCTAAAACCCTACAAGGAGAAGTTAATTTCTAAATGACTTTATAATTAAAGACAAGAATGCACTCGAAACGGAATCCGTATGGAAGATTCCGAGAGCGCCGCCGAAGATGAAGACGACGACGGAGAAGAAGAAAAAGAAGAAGAACTGGCGCAAGGAAGTTACTTCGCCAGATACACACCGAATAAATGTATTTCCACTGTCGATTGCACAACATGGCGCATTGTTATTCATTATTAAGCGGGTGAGGCGTGCGAGCGAGAGCGAGAGAGAGCTCGAACAATATGAAGCCTGCACCATGTTAATCCAACTCTTAAAAAGTGATGTAAAATTTTATGATTGGCTTGGAATGACTTGAAACAAAAATAATTACATTTGTAAGGATCGACTTAAGGAGAAAATTGAAAATTTTTCAGATGAAACGACAAATTCAACTAACCAAACCAATGTGTGCGTTTGGGTGTGCACTGTGCAACGGCAAACTCTCTTACTATGGATGACGGAGCGCATTCGAGCGCCCAAACGATGCCGAATCAGAGGGAGAAAATATCAATTGCGTAATTTCTATCCATTTTAAATGGTGATGGAGTTTCGTTTTCTTTCGACTCTCTGCATTCGTTGCTCTCTTCTCATTCAGTGTTTTTTTTTCTTCTTCATTTCAAATATTTATAATTAGCTTCCACATTCCCGTTGCACCGTTGTGGTGTCGTTTCCATTTCGCGTCATAAGAAGTTTTAATAACCGTTCGGGAAAAAGGAAATCTTGAAAATGCCAGATATACTTTGGCAGCTGCACAACAGGGGCACAATCATAAAATGTGTTTGTGAGCGTGGAAAAAAAGGCCAACGTAAGTAAATGCGCATAACTGAAAACTCAACAAGAAAAACTATTAAGAACCCCGAAAAAAAAATCAATAAAGTATATTTGGCTGTGTGTCGGGACACAGTGTGAAAAAGTAACGTGGTGGAAATGAACAAAAAGACGAACGAATCAACGCCGTCTTCAATTTAATGCATCTGATTACCGTTTCCTTTTTTTTCTCTCGTCACGACACTAAATCTTCCGAATATTATGCGAACGAAGAAGAAGAGAAGAAATCGTTCACGTTTTTCAATGTGAAACGAATTCGATTTCGTATCTAGGCGCCATATCACACGGGCACACCGGTGTGTGTGTGTGTGCTAGAATGAAAATACATTCAAATAGTGCAAATGAATGCCATCGCTCGATTCATACAATCGATTTGATCGTATCCATGGCACTTGCACGTATATTTAGTGCCGTTAATCGCATCAATTCAATTACATATTTACATAATTTACGCGCTAGCGACGCGCACACTTTGAATGAAGATTAAGAGCCGCACGAAGGCAGATATGAAGAAGAAGAAGAAGAAAAAAACAGGCATTACAATTCACCTTTTGCTGCGTTGATTTCCAGCTCTGGATTCAATTTGATGCGGTATGCGGATTTTTAGACCAAATATCGAACACAAATGAAATGTCTAAAATAAATATGTTTGTGCTCTCAACGACGACGACGACGACGTCAATGTATCATTGGAATTTATGCAATTTTCGATGGGAGCGATTCAAGCAGCACATTTCAAGCAGAAACTTAGCTTGTTCATACAATCACTTGAACTTACATACACACACACATACACTCATACACACGCATCCACGTATTCTGATCCATAAAAAGTAATAAATGAGTTCGGTGGATGGTTGTTTTGTGCCATTTCTCTTCGTCTATTGATTTGGTTGCCGCTTAAATTCACTTAAAGTCATTCAGTTTGATTACCTCGATTGAATGGGCGAAGTGGTGGAATTGGCAAGTACACATCCATTGCATGTTTCCGATGTTTATTGTTTCGATTTTTATTTAACTGCTTGAGTGCCTTGAATCGCATCTAGAAGAAAGACGATGGCAACCGCGAACACACAAACCGGAGTGAGTGAAAGCGAGCGAACGAGAGTGAAACGGAGAAAACGAGCAAAATTACATTACACCTCTTAATCGTTTTTGTGCTTTTCTTTATCCCTGAACTATGGTCGGGGAGAGAGGTAGTGCGAGGGCGGGTGCTCTTGTTGTCGGTAACGTATTTGCACAATAACATTCAGAATCAATTGCTTGGCATCTCCGGCATCTTTTGTTATTTATATACGGTTTCGGTGCGCGTACCACTCGTCTGCATTTCTAATGACGATGTGTATTGGATCACATGGAACGGTATTAGAGACTGAAAATACTCGAAATATATACATATATGAATATATGGCTGGCATAAATACCGGAGCGATACACAAACAGGAGGAATATAAAGTGAATGGCTGCAAAAAGCTCAAACCAAAGGCAACACAGCAGCAATAGCAAGGCGAGGGAAGGGGAAAAATAAGCATCGAATAGAAAATAAAAATGAGAAAAGTGAAAAACTCAAGTCGATGCTATACGTTTAAGGCGCACACATGCATTTCATAGAATGCCATATCCCCGCCATTGCCAATGGAATACAATGAATTGTTAACAATGAAAATTCGCGTATTTCTCGTGATTTCGTTCCCCTCCCCATGCCTCGCACACTAAAACTCCAACCGTATTTCTGTTGAATCCCGCCAACACATTACGATGAAGTATGTGCATGTGTATTTGTAGGACTTTCAAAGAGCCACTCTTATTCTTCTTCTTATTTTTTCTTCTTCTGCTTTTTTTTGTTGTTGTTGTGCAAATGCTCACCCAGTTCCAAGCGCATGTGATGGCTTGACTGTCGTGAGACGACAGTAAAATGCAAAATTTTCTGAATTTCATTCTTCTATAATAAATGTGAATAAATTGTTCTGCCATTGTTTGGGAGCGCTTTAATTTCGAATGTTTTCCGTATGAGAGAACGCGCGCCGTATTTCATCTCGATCGCACATACACCCACATACACACTCACTCACCGAAAAACCCGTAGCATCTTTCTTCTGCATGGTGAATGACACAAAGCAATGCCGCCACCACCACCACCACCATCACCATCACCACCACAACCGCCACCATTCGCTGAGATGACAAGAAGCGCCAAAGTTGGAACGAGTGAATTCTATTGATGGCTGCAACTTGCTATTGGTTCGAATCAAACCGATGAAAAAGCACACACACAACATGACATTTCCAATTTAAAATGATTTCTACGCTGCTTTTTTTCAGCCCGCCACAATTGCGTGCTTCGTTCTGCCTCCTCAGTCTCGCGTTTTTGTCGCATATTCGTCCCGGAAATGGCTGCGAAGTTGGAAAACTTAACCCATATTCAGTTGACAAAGCCTTTTCAAAACCACAATAATTTATATTTTTTGATTACAACCCTTATATTTGCGGCGCCGCGTACATAATGACGAAAACATTCTCGAAATTCATTCATCCAAACCGAAAATTGCGTTTGTCAAATAAGAGCAGCATCTCATCGTTTTCCCCCACATTCATCGTTCCAAGCCTTTTTCGCAATTTTCAAATATTATTTTGCGTGTACGGTAATTCCTTTAAATGCGCTCTTAACACACTTCACAACGCAAGCTGTCTCTGTTCTTTGTGCGACAACATTCACTCGAATGTTCATGTTTACCTGAAATGAGGAATGCCGACGATGATGCTGCTGCTGATGCTGCTGTTGTCGCCCGCACCAAGCGTCATATATTCATATTTTATTTAGAATCATAATTAACTCTGGCAAAAAGTGCGGTTTTACATTTTATTGTAATAAATGAAACCGAAAATGTTTATTGATTTCGGTGAGCAAAGCATGACATATTATGAAAATGGATATAAACGATACGCGGAAAAGCGTATGATACTTTTTAATGCCGGAGTAAGAGACTGAGAGAGAGAGAGAGAGCGAGTGCAAAATGTGAAATTTTCTCGCGAGTTTGTGTGTCATGCGTTCGGTATTTTGTGGTATAATCGTGCATGCACATTTGTCACTTTGCAATCTCAAGACGCATCATACAAACAATCTGTTTCTTTTGCTCCTCTTTTCTACTCTCCACGAAAAATTTTCATTTTTCGTCTCTCGTGCAAATATTGGAAGCATCAATTGTTACGGAATGTGTGCATAAAAAAAATCGTGCTGTCGCTTTGCGAATATTAGATTTAGAAATATCAACCGCAAGTGTGCTTTGGTTGTTGTTTTTTCCCTCCTGCTTCGTTGTCATCGAAGCGATTGAATCGAATTTGACGTGAAAAAAAACACACAAGTCGAAGCATAAATTTTCCGTGTCAGATACAATATACTTAATGTTCATGGCATATTGTATCGTGGAAAACAAGTGCTCTTTATCGGTGCTCGTTGTTGTCGTTCAGCGGCTACACAGGGCACACGGCAAGAAAAAGTGGCACGATCTTTATGGGAGCGGGAAGGAAAAGCGAAGAATATGCGCGTGACCGCGTCGCTATCAAACGTAAATTCAATAAACTTATTGTTCTATAAAATAATAAATGTATTCCTACCTCTCCACGCCCGCCATTCACGTGCGTGTGTTGTAAATGTGTTAGCGAAGCGTTTGTCAATCTTTGTGGTGTGCGCGCGAGATTGGTGTAATTCGGTGTAGCATTTCCTCTACGGTCTACATTGATTAGATTAGGATCGAGGATTGTGTCAAATGCTGTTAAGTCCTTCGTTTT